GTCGCGAGCGAGCGCCGCACGCCCCGTCCCAAGTCTCTTTCGTGGAAAACGTGTTATAGCGTGGCGAGGAAACACGACCGACCGACGTATGGTCTGCACGGACAGACGGATGGACGGATGGACGAATGGATGGATGGATGGATGGATGGATAGACGGGAGTAGCGAGTGACAGTGAATCTCGTAAGTGGGCGGCTGGCCGAAATTCGCCCCTTATCGGCACACAGCTCGTGGCACGGTCGCGCGCTCCTCTCGATAAATAGGCTACTGCCAAGGGCAACGCGATTTTTTTTTATGCGCAATAGCGGCGGCCGACATCAAAACAACCGTGGCAGCGACGGCGGCATTCCAGGTCGATGCGGGGTGGAGGAAGGGGGGAGGGGGAAGAAACGCGGTTTCTTTTCCTCTCCCCTCCCGCCGCGCCGCGCTCACCGTCCGTCGCCGACTGACTTCCACTCGTCGCGCTCCTTCTCCGCAGCTGCTCCTCGTGTGGCTCCTCTCCCGCTCCTCCTTCTGCGTCTAAGGAGAGGAGGGGAAACGGCACGCACAACCCGGGGACAACCCGATTAACGACGCACTATCAGCCACGCACGAAAATAGAAGCGGGGATATCACGATCACGTCCGTGTCTCCCCTCGTCCCCACCTCGTGGGGGTCGCGATCCGACGGAGACAACGAATTCGGGGCGACTTCGTCGCCCGAGTATAGAATTCTTCCTCGACCACCTCAACCGTCGTTAAGGCGTGCATGCGTGCGTGCGTGCACGCGTGCACACGTGCACGCGTGCACGCGCGCGGTAAACCCTCACGTCCCGCAGTACTTACCAAGAGTACTTCGGACGCGCGCGACAAACAACAATCGTGTCGTCACTCGCGCGACACTGTGATCGAGATCGCGCGCAAGCAACTATACCGATCGACCGTCCCTCTCGTTGTTTAATCGCCGATCGTCGCGACGCGAAAACATTAACACAATTGCGACGCGGACGCGACCGCGACGTAACGCGCAACGTCTCGACTCTCGTTTCAACGCGCGTAAAATTCGTGCGAGTCCCCGTGCGATCGCCGGGTAACGTGGCCGCCGGATGTTCCAGCAAAAGGCGACGGGACTCTCACCACGACGCGTGCACATCGCGCGCGACACCTCTCTTTCTTTCTCTTTCTCTTTCTCTTTCTCTCTCCTTCTCGTAAGCCGCGCGCGGGTTCACGCCTAGCCGACCGAACAGACGATCGTGTCTATCTTGTAAAGGTCATGTGTACGCCGAGCTCCGCAGTTGTAAACAAGATGTACGCAGGCGCTGAGCGCGAGCGCGAATGGCGGCGGCTCCGATATACGCCGCTCTACGCGATTGTAAATACGAACCGGTGCGCGCGCGCACGTCCCCGCTCGCGCATGTGTATGCACGCGCGGTACGTGCGTCGTGTTTATTACGTACACACGAGCGCGACGGCGACACGGCGCAGTGGCGTAACAATCGTGTCAACGGACGGACGGACGCCGCAATGCGGAAGAACCTTGCGGGGATCCGATCTTCAGGAATTAACGTGCGCGCGACGGCGCCGACGAAGGCGCGTGAACCTCGACTCCGTCGAGAGCAGATCGAGAGGATGATCCACGGCTCCCGCCGAAAGGCGGAGGCGCGTCGATCAGGAACGTCGACCGGGAGAAACGCGGCCGGAACGAGAATCGATACCCCTCGCCGCGAGGGCCAAAACTTGGCGCGCGCGAATCCTGCGAATTACGATGCCTCGTAATTCTGGAGCACGCGGTCTGATTATTTCAAGGATGTGTCAATGATCTGTTCCAGGATCTTCCAGTATATCCCGATTTTGGAACTTTTAACGACAGTTCAATATCATTATATTATTATTGCGCAGGTTTTTTTACCGCGTACAATATAACGATATCAACATTGTCGTTAAGAATTACAAAATCCGGTACTGGATTGTGCCGCATATTTCAAAGAATACGTTTCCATGGAATTATGTGTTGTTTAAGTTCACGCGAATCTTTCTCATGTAAACAACACAATTAATGTAAATTATCTAAATTGGATAATACGGTAAAGAAAAAAATATTAAGTTTTATGATTGTTAATGCGTATCTAACTTTAATTATACTACACTACGAGCAAAAAAAAAATGTGCGTTTTAATAAATTTTAATAAATATTCGTGAATATATAGTACTAACTTGACATTTACTTACAGTAAATGGATATTTACTAAATAAAAGTGATAATTAAATCAATTAGTGATTCTTGTACCAAATAAATATATGTTTACATTTAATAAACATTCAGCTCGTATATACTATTCAAATATTTATTAAAATTTAGTACATTTTTAAGAAACTTCAATGCAATGACCAAGAACATATCATTACTTCGATGATCTATAGATTATTTGCATAGATAACACAAAATATAATTTACATTGCATATACATAGATAATATATTTTTATGTATAAACATAACAATTCTAATGTCCCTGCAGGTCGATCTGTCCTTTCTAACTAAACTTCTCGAATGGTTTATTTTTCCCTTTTTCTCTTCACGTTAAAAAAAGAGAAAAACAAGCAGATTAGCTAAAAAGAACGGATCTATAATTATGTGATTATATTTATTTACCAGGTTCTCTCGAGATTTTTTTTACACGGTTTGTTTTATTTTCTACGAAAAAAAAGGAGGGAAGAAAACCGTGTAAGAAGTTCAACTAAAAACAACAAGCCTATATAATTATCGCGATTACGTGCTCATACGCCTCATACTTGCCTACCTGATTCCCTCTTAAGAAGCCTGTTCTTTTTAGTTTAATTTTTTTGAACGGTTCATATTTTTTCCTTTTTTTTTTCAACGTTAGAAGAAAAAGAGACTGAACTATGCAAAATGAAACTCGGTTCAACTAAACTCAGACAACATGCATGTCAAAAAAACATCATAAAAATGTTTTGGGACATGTCTACATATTTAAAAAACATTATGAAGATGTCTTTTAGACATTGCGTGTTGTTCGGAATAAAAGGGTCTACATTTTTAAAAAATATCTATATAATAAAATACTATATAAGAATATATAACGAAAATATATACTATATGTTACGTCCATTATAAATTTCTTTAATACTTTCATGTACGATATTTTTCTAAAATAAGGCCCCAGATTTATCAGACACGTTCGATCTAGTGATGGACGCGATACTGAAATGTGCTTGTTGTAGGTATATGTTACACATCGAACAAGTGCAATTCAATTCAAATGTTCTACATATGGAACGCTAATCGTATTTTTTCATACTTTCCCTGAAATGGAATGATCAGTTAAATTTGAATGAATGATGGAAACCAATGTTTATAATATAAAAATGGATACGTACGTATTTATCGAGTTGCATGTATCTGAAAAATTCAATTTAGTGTGTGAAAATTTCGCTGAAGACAATTTTCATAAATAGATGTAAGATAGAAAAACGAATTATATACTTTAACATGGTGTTTAGCAAAATCTGGCTAGTCAATTCAAGGATAATTCCACATTCCAGATAAAAATTTAAGTTTTTCCAGGATCCATCAATTATTATTATTTAATTATTTATTGATTTTCATATCGATTCGATTCGCGTAATATTATACGCTTTATTTTCACAAATTAAGATTCTATACGAATGAATTAAAACGCTAATAAATTTGCAATAATATTATTTATTGCTTTATAAATAACATCAAATGAACATTTCATCAACACAAACGATTTTTCTATATTCCAATTTTAGATATTAAATTCGAGTTTTCTATTGGTAACTTATTGCATCTTTTAAGGAAGTTGGATTTATATCCAAACGCACAAATTTCCTTTCATTATTTCTTTCTTTTTTTATCTTTTTTTTTTTTAATGAAAAGAATGAAAAATTCCAGGCCAGCCCTGGAATTGCAAGGGTTTTCCGGGAATTTTCCAGAATACATAAATTTGTATAATTCCAGAATCCAAGGATATTCAAGAACCGCTGAACATCATGTTTAACTCGTAATTAATGTGTAAATCAATGAATAATTTGTGATAGTCAATCTTACAAGGATTTGTTATAAACTCTTCAAACAAGTAATACAAGTGTTGCAGGAGTTAAAATAGTGAAACTTTAAAAATTTTATTTGATCATTTTCTAATCTAATTCCTCCAATTCTTCTAATTTCTCAAATTTCTCAATTTTTAAAATTTATTAGAATAGATTAATTGTACTAATTTAAATTTTATATGTAAACACTACATGTATGTAGAGTGGGACATTTAAAAGGTATTACAAGATACTATCTGTAAAAAATTATCACACGCACGCAGGCGCGCACATCACAAAATTTAAAAATATATTCAGACGAAAGTTGTATAAGAGAAACGAATTATGATAAAATCAATTTTTTAGAAAACGATCTTTAAGATCATTGGAGATCGCCTCCATTTGTATATATATGTTTTTATATTGTATATATTTGTAATTTTTTTTACATAATTACCCTATTCTGCGAAAAATTCAGTTAAAGTAGAAATTAATAGACAGAATAATAAGATGAATCAATTGATATAAAGAAAACAGTTTTTTAAAAATATGTAATTACAATTAGCTTAACACTTTAAATGCCCCACTTTGTAATACTAAAGCCTATTAAATAATATTAAAACATTCACATACGCCGTATTTATTTTTTTTAGTTGAATTTTGTGTCTGAATGTTTTTTTTAATAGTAAACTAAGTGAAAATATTTATCAAAATATTGATAGTTACATGTTGAACTGTGACAAAATCTATCATTCAATCTGTAATTTTCAAATTTAGATCAGATGCTATGAATAAATGTATATTAAAATAAAAAATAATGAATCTGACTTCTTATGATATTGTTTAAAATTACATCCTTAAACAAGAATTTTTTTACGAGTTTAGTAATAGTAGATAAAGAAATAAAATCGAGAATGATTGAACACTTTATACTAAAGAAATGTAAAGGATTAATGCTAATTAGAATATGTACAAGAGCCATTAAATGGATTGATATAGGAATAGTAGTTATCTCAAAAATATGAATTTTTTTCTTTAGATATATAAAATTGTATTTACATACAGTTGACCGCAGACAATAGCTTTAGAAAAATTTGGCAAAATGATACACTACATTATTTTTCTAAAAAAATAAATATATATGTGTGTGTGTGTGTGTGTGTGTGTGTGTGTGTGTGTGTGTGTGTGTGTGTGTGTGTGTGTGTAGAATATACTTATAAGATACAATTACATTCTATTTACCTTCTCAGCCGAGTAATTAAAATTAATGATCTATAAGTGATAATCTAGTATTACAAATCTCAAAAAAATAAAATAATTATAATATTGAATGAGTAAATAAAATATAATAATGAATATTAAAAATCATTTTGCATCTTATAAAAAATATTACATTTTAGCATCCACTGAGCGTAAACAATACAAGATTTCTATGTAAAAATACATAATAAATCTTTATATCTTTCTTTTTTTATCTATACACACAGAGACATAAATGCTTAGCCATCCGAAGTTACACGTGCCAGAGAAGACACAAGAAGGAATAAAACATTCACTCAACAGAGAAGACATGAAAAGGAATGAAAAGTCATAAAAAATCATGGCCAGGCATTTGTATCTTCGTACAAACAAACATACATACGTACAAAAAAATTTTCAAAACTATATTAAAATATAACATTTACTTAAATTATTAAATAATTTTACTATTGCTATAAATAATAAAATTATCAAATAATTTTATTATTACTATGTTACTATTTATTACTATTGTAATATCATGTTTCATTACCTGAAAATAAAAAAAGAATATAAATACTGAAAATATAATATTAAAGTAAATCAATCGCTCTTGAGAATAGATACAGGCTATATTTTGGACAACTTTTATTTTAATATTATTCGCTAATAACTTTGTAAAGATTTTGAGATTATGAAAATAAGAAATTCGTCTTAATTCTACGTAAATTATAAGTAATATGAACTATGTATCTTAAATAGAGCTTTAATCAAAAATATTAAGTACCTATATTTTTTTCATAAATCTGAAATTATTTTATCTATTATTTCCTATTAATTGCCGAAAGCAAAAAAATGGCGAAAATCAATTTTTGAATTACAATGTTAAATAATGATTAATAAGTTAATATTTTTGACCAAAACCATATATAAAGCATAGTTATTTGGCATAAGTCTTTTTGTAATAGAAGAGAGATCTTAATTTTATAAATGTATATATAGTTAACAAGATGAAATTATATTTGTAATATTATTTGAGTAACAAATTTGCGTTGGTATTTACCCGAGTGAAAGTATAACAACTATTACTTTCTAGATTAATACAAACGCAAGAATCAACTATATAATAAAAAATTAACTATGTAAGAGATTTTTCCTTAGTGGAAATGGAAGATTTATATACACAAAGACAAGAGAATACTTGAAAAGTGCTTTGTTTATCACACAGTATACTTGGTAGTATTCTTTGGCAGTATAAATTCTTGTGTATATAAATCTTCCATTTCAAATATAATACTTTCATTATTGATGGCATTAATTTCTGCAGGATCACAATTAAATCATCCAATCAATCAGTTCTTTCAAAACACTCTCTTAAACGGTGAACCGTTATTTTATAGTACTTTATACGTCATTTAAAGAGAACAAAAAAAAAAGAAGATGAGTGAGACAAAAGTAACATTGGATAATGATAAAGTTACAAATAGAATAAAATATCTGAAAGGGATCGATGTGGCTCAGTTAGAAGATTTTGTCCCACCAGGTACACAAGTTTGTGTGCGTATTGACAAGGAGCTGGTACACGTATTGTACCGGGCCAATTATAGTATAAATGACAAAGTTTATATGTCAATCGTTGCATGTGATCTGTTTCGATATTTGATGAATCATGAATGACGATGTAATGTGTGGGTGTTACTGTACCCTGTTGCACATTTTGCGGCACGAGGAAAAAGTCGTAATAGTTTCGCCTCGTTATACACGAATCAACAATAGTTCCAGGTTCAGGATTGTTTAAACCATTCCTCTGCAAATTAAAATGTCATTGCCAATTAAAACTTATCATTAACGCAACATATTTCACGAGTGTATCATATAAATTCTAGCTATACTCACTCTTTTGATGAATATCCGCGTGTTAATGCGTTTTTGAACTACAATTACACTAAGTTGCGGTTTGTAATTCGGCGCTACGCGATTAAATGTCGCCAACAATTGTTTTACCTCGTAATTTTCTACGTAATCTAAATCTCCATCACCGACTCCGTCACGATATATGATTATACGTTCTGGATTACATCCGTTATACTGACGACATATTTATCATTTTGATGAATCAATCAAAAGAAGTTTACATTTAAAAGATGAATATTAATTACCTTGTGAAATGCATTAATAGCTGAAGTAAGGCACACTTGTAGCATATCAACTAGTTCTTGCTTAGAGGCCTGCATACAAATTCTACTATGCCATTTAGTCAATTGAGTATCCAAACTAGCAATAAATCCCGCAACACTTTTTCGTGAACCTCCGCCAACACCAGCATGATAAACGTCTATTCCGCATATCATACAGTTTTTCTACAAAACAATAAAATTAATTGAATAAAATAAGACAAATACATAAATAAAATTATATATGATAAAATAGAAGTTTTCTATATTACTAATGGCACAGCGAGAGTCCACAGTGCTCCTCCTAGTTTGCAATTGATTTGAAGTGCTATTTTTTCTGTGATACTTTTTAATTTATTACTCTTAGAAATTGTTTTCGAAAGGATGACTTGTGATGGTATAGCTTTCTGTACGCAACATAATCTGAAATGTAACAGAACAATAAAACATACTTTTCCAGACTTTATCCTCAATTATTATTACATGAACGAATAAATTTCGAAAACGTATATTTTCATATGTCCAAGGATCAAGATATATTCAAGTTTCTATATATTTATATTTCTATATATTTATATTATATAACATATTGTAATACAATATATTCACATGTGCAAGAAAGCAAATATCATATTATAAAAAAAAAATTGTTTTACTTTTTTATTGCTGAATAGCGATCAGTGCGGTTGGTTGGAAATATGATAACCAATAATTCGAGATTATCGGTGAGATTATTTTGAATTTCTCGCAGATAAGTTTCAGTTCTGTCATCTCTTAAAGTAACCTGTTTTGGGTCATTAATTCGCATATTAATCGCAGTTGCAACTTTTGCCAACTGTTCTAAGAAGTCTCTTACACAAGTTCTGTCCTTTATAAAGTATATAATATTCCACTTGGACAAATTAGGCTAAAACACAAGAGACACAAGTGTAAAATAATAAAATGTTTTTATACAAGATGATTTTCACTATGTATAATTACGTATGTAGTTTTTAATTTCTAAATAATTATTAATTAATACTTACAGTACGTAACACGGGATTTTTTACTGCAGCACTGCTCCAATCTGCTTTCTCATCCGTCTTAAATATTCTATTATTTCCAAAATATATTGTTTCAGGCTGGAGATGTCTTGCAGTAAATCTAACTAAATCAGAGCTTAAATGCAAACCCCATTCTGATAATATTTCTCGAGTTACATCAGTCTTCTGGACTTCTTCTAAAAATCGCCTGATCACATCTCGACGTTGATTAGGCGACATTTTCGTAACTCCGCTTAAGTCTTTCATAATATAATGATTATTGCGAATATTATCAGTAAGACCCGCTGCATAGCTCAATTCCGGTATCAGATAAATTGTTCTTTCCTGTTTCTATTATATTCGAACGATTTTTTGTAATAAGGAATTTTAAGTGATCATCAATATCATATCAACAATATGCATAAATATCGTATTATATATGTATATATATACATATATATATATATATGTGCATGAAATCACAAACCTCGCCATTTGGTAATCTAGCTGTATCACGATGCACTAAAAGAGGTTGTTGTACATCTTCAATCTGGATATTCCAATTTGTCTTATAATAATCGATGTACGATATTTGTTCGCCGTTTTTAGAGAACGTATCTGTTGGTCTTTTATTAAAAGCGACGTCGTCTACACGATATGTCTTATTATTATACCTCGTTAGTACACTTGTACCAACTATTTCGTTTATAACAGCATCTTGGTAATTATAATGTGATTTTTGGAAAATCTCTCTTCTAAAAAGTGACATAAAATAAATTTAGTTAACTGTAAATTATTCAATCGTGATAACATTCGAAAATTTCGTAATACTGGAAAAACTCACATTAAATCTCGCACAGTTTCTGTTCGCATCACTCGATGTTTCGCATCTAAACATAATTTTAAACCACCCTCATATTCATTTACAGCAGTCACGTAACCAGGCCACACTTCTAATCGATGTTGAGGCAGAGCGTGCGCGCCTTTTGGATTAAAATTTTGTCGACCAATACGAACTAAGCTAAGCGCTCGCATAATACGATTGATCAAAACATTGAAAAATTGAACATTACACATTGTTTCTTTCTTTTTGAAAATGATTGTGAGAGTTATTCTTGAACCATCCATTGGATGTTCTGATTTATAGTGAGAAACCTGAAAATTTAACAATTATACATCACATAATATTAAGTACATTGTATTAATATAGAAGTTCTCTATCAGAATTTTTAAACTCACATCTTGAGGCAATTTTATTGGTAAATAAAGTAACGTTCCATCAAATATTTTTGTTCGTCCTAATGCAGCAGAATGTTGATTAAGTAGCTTACGGCGTAAGCCTATTGAATCAATATTTGGCGAAAATTTAATTTCATATTGAAATAAACCTTTTCCAGGCTCTAATATCAAATCCACATAGTTACAATATGCTTCTATTCTATAAAGAAAAACAATCTTTATTAATTGTTGCTATTAATTATTATTATTTTAAATTATAATAATATATTCATCCTTTTCTTGTCATAAATGTTAGTGATATTGTTTCATTTTTATCAAAAATAAATAATTTATATATTTTTTAAATTTGTCTATATTGTGTAATTTGTAGAGATGGGCGAATTATTTAAATACAAATCGAATTGTCATCTATACAATTAAAACTCAGATTAAAAAATTTCAAATCTAATTGTAAGAGATTTGAATATGAATCACATATATTAACGCATGCACGCACGTACGCACATATACGTATGTATGTATAGAAAATTATTTCCCGCTACGTACAGTGTATAATCAATATTTCTCTTACACAGAACTTTTTTTCATCTACATATTAAAATTCAACCTAACAATAAATATGTTGTTGATTAAACGTTGTTTTAATAATTTAATTCAATTTATTTCAATTCAATGTAAACAAATTTTGATTTGTACATCTCTACTAATTTAACTAATTCAAATGAGCCGAAAATATTATCTAATATATCTCCAACTTGAAAATTTCTTACACCATGAATAACGTATAAAATAATTATCGCACATGAAACCACATGGCAAATATATAGAAACTTGCAATTATAATAATTCTTTATATGACTGACAAATTTTCTAATCAATCTCATTAAAATGTCTCATTAAAGTTTTGTTCATAAAATGTTTTACTTATTTTTGTTAGTAAATAATGAAACAACAACAAAAAAGAGGCCATTTTTCGGAGTTGATTTTTTATTCACTCAAAGGGTAAAATAAAGAACAGCAATAATAGCTTATTATATCCAGACCTCCTGCGTATTGTTAGTTTTATAATTTTCTGAATTTTTAAGTTGAGTGTCTTATATATAATATAATATATAATACAATATATTATATCGAGAATGATCGTACTCTGTTAAAATGGTAAATTGTTAATTACTTACTTCATTCCACTTTTGCCTTGTCGACATATCGGTGCAATATTCGGAGGTTGTAAGTCTTCTGGCGAAGGTGGATTATCATATACAGAAATGTCAGCTAATTTTCCTAAAACTCCTTCAGAATCGTCCTTACTAACACTTTCTGGTGTAAATGATGTACTTGGTTTGCTGGATTGTAAAAATTATATTTGCTGTAAATGTGCATTTATAAATGTAATTCAGAGATAGCAAAATACTCTCACTCACCCAAGCTTTCTTAATAAACTTGGGATAGCGCCTCGACCATGACCTATTGCTAATGAAGAGTCCCTGGATTCTTCACTACTGTTGCTATTCAATGATCTTAACCAACCAGGTATTTGCGCACGTCCGCGACCTCCACTAGAACTTGAAGCATGAGATGAATATCCTTCAGATGATCTTGATGTCTGTTCAGCTGATGAAACACTAGGTGTTTCTAAAGAATGGGACAACGCTTGAGATCGTTGCATTTGTGCTCTCTGCTTCATCAGCTCTAACAAGAAAGAGCGTTTTTGCCCAGGAGGTTGATTATTAGGATTCATTTTGTCTTCTGTAATTTTTAAAATAGATATAGTTAATACTTATTAATATATACCAATATTGTAAATATTTAGAAATTCTATTACTTTACTTAATATCTAAGTACTAGCGATTTATTTCAAAATAGGAACATGCCAAAATATTAATCTTTGAAATTTAAAAAATAATTTCGCATCCTCTTCAAATACGACTATAAGTTTTAAATCAAATAAGAAAGCGCCATATAGCTCTAAATATTGATGCCTAATAATATCTCTAAATGTAAATTATAATATATTTTTCAATTATATCAAAACGTTTATATTCATGTATAAATATTTTTTAAATAATTTTATACTAATATTCCGCAGTATCTCTTTGCTGGAATTGTAATTGAAATCTAAGTTTGAGAAATCTATCTAAGAAATTTATTTAGTTTTTCAGCATATTAATATCTTTTTAACAGGATGTCTGATTGAGCAAAATCAAATTATTAAAAATAACTTGTCAATTTAATACGTGATATTACTACAGTAGTTTAATTGCGTTTATAAATCCGGAAAATTCGGCAATACGAATGACTATAAATGGTATATATGCATGTACATATACAGGGTGTCCCATAATGATTAATTAATATTCGTATACATAATAATTAATAAATAATAAAGGATATTTAGAATATTTCGCGGTCTAATCCGTTTTATATAATCCGTACATATTAAATATATAATCTTTACATATTAAACACACATCTCTTTACATCAATTTGGTGCATCCAATCAAATTCGCTAAATTGTTGTCAACGTTGCTTTTATGAAATTGTCAGGACAAAGTGCCTAAAGTCCCCTTGATTTATTTCCTCAAACTTCTGAAAAATTGATTAAAAATTTTAACGAAGAATCTTCATTTCGGTGATTGCAGCAACAATAAAGAAAAATTAGAAATGTCAAACAATTTCAGCAATTTAAATTTTTGATAATTTTCACTATAGTTTCGTCTAAATGAGAATTTTTATTTACTTTGTAATGTTAGGAGAGATAATTTTTACTTATTTTTTAATGTCGTGACAGATAATGTCTCCTAAAAAATAGACGCGATTCTTTGAATACAATCAATCCAATATTATCAATCAATATATATTGGAATATTCCAAATGTTGAGCACGTTTTTAATTTCTTTGTTAAACAATATAAGTAATCTAGACAAAATCAATCATTTAAAAAAAACGAGCAAAGGATAATAAAATTCAGTTTATTACTTCATAATATCTATATATAAATGAAGTACGGTATCTCGATTTGGAATGTTTCGGAATCTTTATTTAGCTTTCTTCAGCCATAAATAAATTAATATATAAATATAAAAATAGTGCATAAATGACTATAATCTAATGTCAGAAACTGAAAGACGCATCTTACATATAATATTCACAAGAAGTCGCTCAATATGGTCTGGTCAATCAGCAAGACAATGTGATCTGGGCATCTATTATGGAGCAGGTCGAAATTATTCCGTTTTCATTGAAAAACACAATAGAAATCTGGAGAATAATTGAATAATTCGGATTGGAATTCGACTTATTCCATAATAGATGACCTGGATGGTTTCGATGTCATTTAATTTCAACAAAGAATTCTTTGCTATGCTTCTCCTTGCCTTAAATATTAAACAAACTCATAGCAAGAATAGAATATCAGTAATGTGTAGTATGTTTTTATGTATATTCCGCGTGAATGCGTCCGTATGCTTATTTATCGCATCTCAAGACCTTAAAACTTCAAATATTTTTTTATTTTTTTGTAGGCAATAAACACTTTTTCTAATACTATGAATTCCAACAGACCCTCCACCTTTAAAGTTTCAACTTTCTAATACTAATATAATATTAATTCTATTCGAAAATTGTATAACCCTTTTTTTTCAAAAGGGTTCTTCAAAAAAAAAAGGTTAAGGTTGCTCAAAAAATTTATTACTTCTCTCTTGGACTCCTCTGCCTACTCCCCCCCTCCCCCCTCCTCACTCATATCTCTGTTTTTCTTGATAACACCGACAGCAAATTTCATTTGGTATAAGTCTTTTTGTAGTCTGTTGGTGCATAATTTGTTTTTTCCTGTTCTCCAGTGGATTTATCATTTAAGTATAGAAATTAATAGCAATAAAACTCACTGAGCTGCTTTTTTTGTGAATTGCACAACCATAATTTATCTATAGCATAGTTTTCCAAAGTGAGCGCCGGTGGGTGCTGAGAAAATCTGGCAGGATTTAGTATGAATCAATGTGTTTTTAACCAATTCTCTTAACGTGGCTTTAGCTGTCCCGGTCAAAATCAATTTTAAACATCTGTTTTTTGTCAAAATTTAGCAATAATGTTATTGTACCTTGCATTATTTTTATTATAATACATACTTTTTAAGCTAATCCAACCTAGTATTAAAAGAGATAAAAGAACAAGAATTAGATAAAAATAATCCAGGAAAACATTTTATTACATATTAAGTAATATAATAAAAATAAGATAAAACAAAACGAACATTATTGTTATATTGTATGTATAAAAACAAAATATATTTTTTTAAGAGATCCATAGATTTGGCAGCAAAAAGATTAAGGCAGGTAATATAGATCTGTAACTTTTTAAAATTTCTACATTGCTCTATAATCCTTATTAATTTTCCAAGTGATATAATTTTCATAGAAACGTCAAAATAGGCCTTAATAGAACTTTAAGACATTAGTACTAGTATTAATGTTGATGTCATACTCGAATGCACATGAAAAAAGTGACTCGTCTAACACTATTACGGCTATGTTCTGGTTTCTTTCACTGTCAGTACTAAAAATTTACAGTATACGTTACATACACTACATATTTTTCAGCACTAGCAATGAATATCGGAACACAGCCTTCATCAGCGCTTTTAGTGGGGCAGGAAAGAAAAGAAAAATTAAAGCTGGAAATTATCGAGTATATTAAGCTGGAAATTATCGAGTATATTAAGCACATCTAGTGAGTGCGATCAAAATAATAAAAATAAAAAATCTTAAACAAAAATACATTTTAACTAGTAGTTTTAAAAATCAGTTTTAATCACTAGTCAAGTCAAAGTAAAAAAAAAATGGTCTTTTGTCATCCTGAGATCTTGGGGGAGGGGCATTGCTAGTTCTAAGAGCAATAAAAGGGTGTTTAAGAACAAGTGGGCGAAAATTTAGTTCCCTAAATTATATTATATTTTTTTAAACAAACATTCGTCAGCGAATTCTCTCGATGCTGCTTCTATTCGTTTGAAACAAACTCCTTAATCTGTCAATGAATTTGTTGATGAAAGCTTCTCCTACACAATCGTTTTTTATTCGCTAGCATCTAAAATTTTGAAATCGCAGCATCAAGTGGTCGCTAGTGATCAAACGAATAGCTGGATGACTTAAGCAGCGTTATTGCTGAAAGCGAATAAATCGCCCTTACGTATTTTTACAAGAATCATACCAAATATGTTTTTTATTATATGCAATTTTTTTAGCTAATATTTTCTTATACGAAATGATCTAAGTAAACATATCTGTACATATGTCGTCAGGTTCATAAAAAATACAAAGATAGCAATTCGCAGAGAATAAATTTAATTTTAAAGAATAAGTTCAATAAACTGAAAATAAAAAAAGATGTCACTTTCTTTTCATTACATCAGCAGAAAATGGCTATATTTAACGGAATGTTTATTTTGGCTAAACATGGCTAATGTTACAATGCCTCATTGTACGCATGTTGACTCATGACAGAAAAAAAATCTTCCAACTTCCAATCTTAATGACTCTCTTCTCCTTTTTTAAAATAACGGAGCTACAGCTAGCAGAATAATAAAACATAAGATTATTGTATAACAATAAGAATCTTATTAAACGTACACGTGAGAACACAATTAACAAGAATTAAGAATTGAAGGTGTATAACGATCTAAATTGGATTTTTGATGCTTAAATAATTTAATGGATTAATTTTATATATATTATATATATTATATGTAAAATTTGTTTCGAAATGTGCAAACGAAAATCTATTGACTGAGACTAGTTAAATCTAATTTGCTTGTACTTGGAGAGGCTAATGTAAAATTAGTCCCTCTCAAATTGTTTTTTATTTTTTTACCAGAAGTGTACAAACAAAAATTTAAAATAAGCACACATGTACGATGAGCAATCGAATGAACTACAGAAATTTAATGTTTTCAAAAGTTTCATCGGAGATAATAAAATCGGTCTTGGGTATTTACATCAAAATAAATTAGTTTTTTCGCATATCTCTTGTGTATCTGAAAATAGATCTGAATAAAATATATTTGCTCTTTCTTCAATACGTAGATTAATTCTGTTTTTCTTTTCGAATATATTGGTCGTGGATAGATGATGCTTTTCAATAAGCGACACAATAGGCTTGTTCTTTTTGCACGATTTATCTTTTCTTTTTTTCTCTCCAACATAGAGAGAAAAAATGCGCATATATAGTTTCTATAATATATATAATAGAAATTTTGCCTAAAAATGCTTTCAAAAATAATAACTAAAAATTGATATATGACATGAGAAATAAGTAAATTCACCTTCGAAAAAAAAGAGCAACAACAGCGGAAGTATTCGGTTCTTTTTACATCTGGGTTTCTACGCTTTCAAAATATTTGCTTCCTTAATACAAAAAATGCGATAATAGAATTAGCGTCCTTTTTAGACATTTCTTCTCTTTCTCTCCAATATAAAAAATAAAGATATATCGTGCAAAAGTTCAGTCTTGGTGTACGGAAAAAGAACAGGCTTTTTATGTTGGGAAAATGGGAAAAAAATGTGAAGTGGCCAATCCCTTAAAAAGGCAAAGAATGACATTTAAAAAAATTCAATATTAATTGTAATTATATTTTAATAAATACTTTTTAAATAATTATTAACGAAACAAATAAACAATATCAATTGTTATATTTATAAATAACTAATAACACTAAATATGTAACATCATATGAGATCACAACAAAAATTATGTCAAATTACAAGAGATTAAATTTTATATTTTAAAAATAAATGCAATTCTATAAAAAAAAATTTTTAATTAATAAGATAACGACACAAATTTTTATATAGACTTGCTATTATTTATATATATATTTATCATTTTATTACTCATAAATTCTCGGATAATTATTTAGAAGACGCTCCTCACCTTCAATTGTAATAAAATTATGCTCATTTGTCGCATTTTTGCGTGAAACGAAAGAATCTGGTAGTAATGTCATGCCTAGGACCGCAAACCAAGATATTAAGCGTTAAAGTTGACGACATTGTGGTTAGGAAATTTGTCACACCGACTTGCAGCGCTACGTACACGTATTTTAGTCTGTATTTATTTAGAATCGTTACTTCACCTTCGATTTTAATGAAATTAGGCTCATTCAATGCATTTTTATTCAAAACGAACGTCTGCTCTGTTCTTGTTGTATGTGCGAAAAGTAAACTCCTGAACGAGGAAAGGAAGACGATTTGAATATTAATAAACAAATGTTAATATATCGCAGTACAAATAAGTTAGTAAAAAACCTATGCACATGTAGTCATAAAGCATAAAAATGTGATCGCAGCACATGCTTTCATCGCGATATTTCGCAGTTGACAGATTTCCTAACCTCAATAGTCATCAACTTCAACGCTCAATATCTCGCAAGACTAGGCACAACATTTTACTGCCAGATTCTTTCGTTTCATGCAAAAACGCACCGAATGAGCACAATTTCACTGAAATTGAAGGTGAACGGTGTCTTTTAAATAATTACCAATTCTCGCACTATTTGTATAAGGTCTGTTTTCTATGACTGAACTAGTGTGCGGTCCACTTGACACTACAAATGCTTCGAAGCATTTGTAGCATCAAATGGATCATAGACCTAGTGTACACTAGTGCTTGTACTGCTTGCACTGACTCCAGACTTAGTGCAGCCAGTACAGTAAACGCGGTGCACTGAGTTCTGTTGTAGTGGAACAAAAAACATCGTCGCTGACGCTATTTTGGGAACAAAAAACGTTTTATAGTTTTTGGCTAGCCGTGCCGGTGTGCACTCAGTGCACTTTGAAGCTGTTGACACAAATCGACATAAAGATGTACGTTTAAAAAAATATAGAAACGAATTAAACCACGAAATCATTAATACATTTTATTGTGGTATTTGATAAAATATACATTTGGTACTTTATTAATTGAGATTTCTCACTTTTACAGTCAGATTAGGTTAATGTACAACAAAACTATAAAACGTTCTCTGTTCCCAAAATGGTGTCAGCAACAATGTTTTTTGTTCCAGTACAACAAAATTCATCACCGATATTTTTCAGTTCTGCTAATAAAAAACACTATTAGTGTACACTTTTTGAACTAGTGCAATCAGTGCAGGAACAAAAAAAACACTTCATCAACTATCCTTCCACCATGGCCAATATGGTGGCAAAATTTTAATCTAGCTAGCAATTCAGTAGGAAAACAGATATCGTGTACCAACAGATTTTATATCCAGTTGCAAAACTCATGGTTACTCTTAATTTGTTCTTGAAAATGGAAAGAGATGAGAAATAAATTAAATCTTGGTTAAAAATAAATCGGCGAGTTACGTGCCTTTCCTTCTTTTTTTTTAATTCTTAGAATTATAAAAGATGAAGTTAGTCGAAATTAAAAGTAAACTACATTGGTACGAACATTACTGATAAAAACGAAAGAATTTCGCGCCAACAAATTTCTTCGAATTGGAGCGTTGATACAAACGCATGCGTCTTAAAACATAACGATAAATATCTCTTTTAAGCGGTAACACACGAGAAAATATTTCTCTTTTCCTTTTTACACGGCTATTCTGCGACTAAAATCACTATTACCCCCTTACATCGATATTTTCTGTTCCGAATTTTACAATTTTAATCTCGGTTTATTTTACTCTTTACTGTTTAATTTTTAGAATCAGAAAGAGATAAAATAAAGTTAAACCAAGATTAAAATTAATTTACATTAGTAGAAATAGGCAAATGACGGATGTTGTGAATAGCGTGGGGTTTTGATACATTCTCGAGTTCAAAGATAACGAAATCGAGACA